GATCCTGTGAATTTCTTGAGGTGGTTGACACAAGGTTGTTAGGACCTTCATGTGTACTTTGAATTGGGGACATTCCTTAAACTGGAGAGCTTTCTTCAATTCCAAAGTCTTACGTTGAGTTAGGAGGACTTTGTGATTCTTTTGCATTATTTTCTTCATGTCGATTCTCTTGTACTTTTTCATCATCTTCTACAATTAGCTCATGTACTTTCTGGTTCTCATTAAACCGATTGCATCGAAACTTCATCAAAAACAACATCTCTGTTGATCACTATTTTCTTGCTTACTGGGTCATATAATAGATAGGCTTTTGATTCTTGACAAACACCCATAAATACGCACTTATGACTTCTTGCATCCAATTTTGTTCTTAATTGAGCATTTATAATGCTAACGTAGCCCTCAGGGAAAACGTCAAAAAATGAGAAGTCAAACTAACGCCAAGTTTGGCCTGGTTAGAATTTGGTCGTATCCAGCCTAAGACCAAGGTCGGGCCTTCACCAACGCGGATTCACTGATATAGCGGTTAAGGGGCAGAACTACGCCTTGCCCTCTTCTCTTAGAATAAATACCCCGGAAAACGTGGGACCAATTAGAGAGTTCCACTTTCCCATCTTATGACACCCACAATCATCATAATATTGAAGATTCTCCTCTAGCAAATAAGGCAACGAGGCAAAAAGACGTGTGGAGGATCCTCTGATACGGATCCGCCAAGACTCAACATAATTAGTTAAGAGGCGCGCAGCTCTTAATCAGGTATAAAAGGACCCTTCTTCCTCATGAAGGGGAGGAGGGAACTCTTTTTCCTCATAATTACCTTTTCTTCTCTCAGAATCAATTCTAACTTGATCATCGCAGCTTCATCTCACGAATCCCTCCCGAACATCGACTAACGATCATCTTTCTATTTTTGTATTGTCATATCAAGAGAAGGAACTCACTCGACTCTCACCCTCGATCTCAATTCAACCATCTCTGACATATCACAACATTTGGTGTCATCCGGACGTATCTCCATAACGATACATCCACGAAGCACAACCAAAGAGCAAAAATAGCAGGCAAACTTTCGGCAACATCAAGAGCAGCAGAGACAAGCCCAATGCATCTAGTGTAGCCGTTAGACGGGGGGGGGGGGGGGGGGGGAGTTCCCATCCAGGAATAACATGCTTAAAATCGCACGCCAGTCTCACAGATACCATCCAGCTCTGCAGCTGAAACGACGGCAACCTACATAGCCAGTCTATAGCGCCAAACAGTTAACCCACCTCCATAAGCAACAATCGTAACCATAACTCCATAGATTGTCGCAACACAAAAAATGGAGATACCTGTTTCGCAGTAATAATCGTTTTTGCACAGTTCGGGCACTAGAACCTGGATCCCTCATAATATTCAACTGCATTCACAATATTCATCGATGGTCTACCCACACGCCACTATGGCAGGCTTGTCCTATGTGCCGTTGTTTGTACATCAATCACCGGTCTTTAACCCGTTCGCACAACAGGCTCAAGGTCCAATCTCAAAAGTGTCTCAATCGCAAGTCACAGGAGTGTAGACCTCGATCAACTAGGGATCCAGCTCCTATGGACCTAGCGCCCATTTCCTAGTAGCACCAGAACTCACCCTCTTCATGGAGAGTACTCAACCATTCAACCCGTCTATGCAAGAGTATACGAGAGTAAGCCCATACATAGTTCACCCGACAGGTCAATACATATTCCAGCAATTTGGATCACAGCCAAACTTGTAGTCGTATCAACCATCCATCTCGTTAGTGGCCATGCACAACCTGATCTACGCGAGCCCCTACCAGACGCAACAACATATGGCCTATGGCGGTATGTCATACTCGTACATGGAAAAATCCCATGCCAAGTGAAAGCTCTAATTTCATCCATGAATTGCTACAATACGAGATCTCACACACTGTGATAATGTCGAACATGCCAAAATACGATGGAACTACTGACCCAGATGACCACATCGACAACTACGAGTGGACGATGACATCTCTAAAGATGGATCATTACTTCAATTGCACCTATTTCCCCTGCACCCTAACAAGAAACGTGGGCAAGTGGTTCAAGTCTCTGAGGCCAGGAAATATTTCGAATTTTGAGCAGATGAAATACCTTTTCCTCAACAACTTCATACAGTTGAGGAAAAGAAAATAGGATGCCAACTCTGTGATGGCGTGTAAGCAAAGGGAAGGAGAGTCGATTCGTGACTATTACGATCGATTCACTATTGCTACCATGAAGTTCCCAGGACAAGAAGATTTCCTGGTGACGGGCGCCTTTGCCCAAGGTGTGCTTTATAGGCCCCTATCTAAGAAGATGCAAGGGACAGTCCCCGGATCCAGGGACAAGCTCAAGTTCCATGTGGAAAAATACATGAGACAAATCGAAGGGGAAGAGCGAAAGGAGGCCAATCTCAAAGTTATACCCAACACATACATCAAATAGGAGGAGGCGGTGTCCCGGCCGAGCTCAGTCCAGCAAGAGAGGCAAGACGACAACCAGCAGAAATACAATCGCCACTCTAGACACATGTCGAGGAGGTACACGCCATTCAACAAAAATGACAATAGGAATGGTCATGCAATAAAACAAATCCATCAAACGAGAGCAAGGACAAGACCAAGTTCTGTGAATATCACAAGAGAAAAAATCATGATACCACCATATGCATGGTATTGAAAAGGGAGATAGATGAGAAGCATTTAGTTGGAAACATAGTTGACATTACAAAAGAGCTCAAAGAAAAATTTGATGAGAACAAACACCAGCCTAAAACTCAAAAGGATGGGGGGAAAGGACCATGATAAGAGGTCAGAGATACTTACCATCACTGGGCCACGCCCATGAAGCCATCTCCAAAGCCAACATACAAGTGCGATGGTATACAATCAAAACATGCTTAACATAGCCTTTCCAATGAGTGATCTTAGACCAAAACACTAGGATCCAAATGACCCATTGCACATCTTAGGGTTCATTAGCCAAAACTGTGTTAAGCATGTATACATTCATAATGGAAGCAGGGTCAACGTAATCTATGAGCACTTCCTTCGTCGGTTGCCAATCGGTTGGAAAAAGTACCTCCAACCACCACAGCAGGGTCCGCTATTCAAGTTCACTGGTCATGGCATCTAGAGAGCAGGTACAATCATGCTCCCATTTACATTAGTTAGTCGTGATGGGAAAAAACAGGTAACGAAGGTACTCGAGTTCTGCGTTGTTGATTGTCCAGCTGAACACAATATTCTACTGAGTCGACCTGCACTTTTTCAGCTACAAGCGATTCCGTCCACTCTCCACGAAATTTTCTAAAATTCAGAACAAGTGACAGTTAGGAAAAGGTCATAGAAACCATACCAGATAATGAACATGGTACCCAATAAGAAACAAAGCAAGAAACCAAATCGTGTCAAAGTGAAAGTTTCCAGAAGATGGAGAATCCACAGCGGAGATCAGCAACAACACAAATACTGGTCCATGAGTCTAGGAAAAGACAAAGAGACGTGTTCAGACAACTCACAACATCTCTTTCACGGAAAGAAGCATACATTGATCCAAAGATGGTCCATCCATAGCACAGAGCAAAAATCGCAAAGCGAGGAGATGCCTAACCGTGGGCAAGGCATCAGTCTGACCCGCAATCAATGGTCAAGCCATGCCCAGACAAAGAATGATTCAAGATTGGAACCTAATCTTTTCCAATGACAATGATGAACCAAACCCCTTCAGGATGAAGAATATAAGCGCTAGAACCAATAAAGATAGTGAAGGAGTGTCACTCAATCTAACACGCAAGATTTACTGTAGAAGAGAACCAAGCGGGGTCTCTGATGAAAAAAACCCAAATAACCATGTGAAACTCATGATTGATAGGCATGCAGCAAAGAGCGAGTGGGATTCTCACCTGTACAAGGGGAGACGCTTCCCACGGTCTCAGCATGCATTGGGTCAAGAAGGAGGGAAAGTGTAAGCGCCCGCGGAGCATGAACGGCAAAATTCAACTCTTCTACACCAAAACTCGGTGGTGGAAGCAGGAAGGAACCCTAATCTATCAAGAAAACTTTGAGGAGATGAGAAAAGGACGCACAACCATGATGAGGTAGTCACAGCAGATCACTCAACCAAAAATAAAGTGAAGGTTGAGAAAAGGGAGTATGGTCAAACTCCACACAGGATAACCGTAATCCAAGTGCCGACGTGAAGACCGGGCCCATGCCCTGATACTTAAACTTTTAGAGTCTAATGTTTCATGTCTTTTGTTTTTAAGAATTAATATAATTTTAATTTTGAAAAAGCTTTCCAGAATCCTGTTTAACCAATTTCAAAAGCATAAAGTAAAGATATTGTGCATATTTTCTGAGTAGCAACAACCGCTGATCACATACGCTACTTGAGAAAAATCTATACAATGATGCAAGCATAGGTCTTAAAGAATCATAATCTTTACCTAAAAATTTTCCAACAACATCTCATATCTAAGAATGTATAAATCTTAATTGATGGCATAAAAAAGGGGGTCCTAAAAAGATTCATAACATTTCCCCCAAAAATTAGATAGTAGAAGGCCTTGAGGTGACGATCTCGACCAACATACAGGTAGCTAAACCTCAAAGTATAGTCAGGAACATTGGCCAACATTTCGCGAATTAACATATAAAACTTGATTAAACATACAATTTAGTGACATATAAGTCAATAATAGCGGTTATATGACGTCTGAAACACGTACTAACCGATCAACGCAAACCCAAGAACAAAGAAGTGTGTAGAAAAGAATTACAGTAAAAATGTCGAATAACCTTAGCCTAAAGATATCATAGGTCAAATCAAAATACAGAAAAAGCATTTCTATTCCAAGTACAAATCAAAATACACAGTTCTTGGTCATTGACAATTAGTATCTTTCATTACACATATAACACAAGGGAGTGTGGATACATTACAGAATAAACAAAAAGGGACAAACAAAAATCAATCCCTAGAGCCCAAGGAAAAGCTTCCTGGACCCAACCTACGACAAAACTGGCGGAAGCTATCATATTCCAGCTCCCCCAGATGAAAGTGACCTGCAAAATCTGTCTCAGCAATGGAAGAAAGGGTAATATCCACCTCTTCGGCTCCTCTTAAGACATGGTCAAGATTCGGGGATTCAGGTTCACCAAAAGTTGTAGAACAACCTGCCAACTGTTTCCCTTTTTCAAGCTTAAAGGCCTCACACGCCTTTTGAACACCTTGGATCCCGCTGGAAAATTCCACACTCACGATAACCTTATTGATTTCTCGGACCACCCCCTTTTCTAACATCCATTTCAAGTTGCCTCGAGCAACAACACCGTCAACCCGGGCACGGGCCCGTCGTTGTTAGCACCTGGCTAACTCACTCTCTAGAACACCCTTCTCTCGGGTTATAGAAATCACTTGATTTTCGAGTCACTCCACTTGGCCCTCTAGAGTGGCCACATGATCTTCCAAAGTGGCCTTCTCGCAGTCCACAATGCAATTTTTCTCAGATAATACTCGATGCTCTGCCTCTGAATCATGGAATTCCCCCTTACGCCTGCAACGACATCTTGCAAAGTTTTTAATTATGCATCATTTATGCCAGAGCGGCAAACCCGATCAGCATCATATCAAAGGTCAACGGCCATGCGAGTTCCCGATTGGGCCGCAAATAACTTCATTGTGGCCGGTGGATGGGCACGACTATTCCATTCCAGGGCAGCGATGTATTCTGACAGTAAGGAATCCTTAGTAACCACCCAACCTAAAGCATAAGCCTCGGAAGCCAAGGGGGAGGACGCAGTTCTCACTTCATCAACCATGGAAGGTTTGTCCGATGGTGAAGAATCTCCTGACATGCCCGGTGCACCCCCAAGCACGAAATAGGAACCAGGATCAACTGAGAGCAAGTCAGTAAACTACAAAGGTGATGCCTTTAAAGAACTAGGTACCACCACTATCTCTTTCTGCCCAGTCATAGAAAAATTATCGCCAAGAACATCCCCAATACCTCCAAGAAGCTTGGGCACGGACACCGTGTTGCGCATCTTACGAGGACGGAGGCCCACGTCATCGGATTCAGTCTCTTTGTCCAATGAAAGAAATATGCGTAAACTTCATTTTTCTGGATAGGGGTGGTACCTTTTCCTGCTTACAACACCATAGGAATATAGGCAGAAGAAGAGGACGGAAAATGAGCAGGGAAAATGGCCCCAACAACCGGATGGGAAGGCGAGGCAGGTCCGCCAGAATTAGCATTTCTCCCTTCTGTTGAGAGCAATCTAGCGAGCTCTTGTATACGTTTTTCAGACACAGGAGGGGGAAGAGCCTCCACAAGATCAACCTCCCATTGACAAAGCTTACCCCGATAGTGACCACGCAGGCCCATCTCCAAGGAAATCTCAACTTCGGCACCTGCGAACACAAACACAAAGCATGAGAACTCACAAGCCAATAAAACACCCTCTTCTTATTTAAAAAAGGGGGGGGAGATAAGAGAATACCTCATCTCACGACAAATAAATGCGCCATCTTCCTACATGCCCTCCAGGTGGCACTCATACCAGTTGCGGCAAGGATGAAATCTTCCCAGTTCTCCTTGATGACAATAATGTTTCCCAATCGTTTGCCAAGAGTTAAGTTATCCCCGAATAACTTGGGAAGATGATCAGGAAAGTCTCGGGTTTTAAGAAACCCATGCGCCACAAGGTTTTGGTTGACCCAAAACCATTGCCTATGCTAATGTTACTTCGAAGTATCTTGTTCAAAGATCAACTGATGAATGCCCCGCCTTTTCGCCAACATACGGACGTCGGAATTCGTAGATGCACAAAAGAAGTAACTGAAAACCCAAAAATTCTATATGCAACCTAGAGATCGACAAATCAGTTTGAAGTCGATAATCTTATTGATGGCACATAGAGTTAATTCGTTAAGAAAAAAGTCGTAGTGATGCATGATCATATCAAAAAAAAAAAGGCAGATGTTAGCAGGTTAACCCCGCTTCGAATAAAGGAACACGAACCCCCACTTTCCCTAGAGGACAGTCATAGATCGATGATCCCTCCACTGGAATCATCACACCATGCTCCGGTAAGAAACTGAATTGTTCTTGCAGAAGCTGGAATTCCTCTGCGGTAAGGACTCTGCCATAATGATCCATCATCAAGAACGGATGAATGATATAAAAGAATTTTTTGCAAAATTACTGAGACGCTACAACAAAAGCAAGGAAAGGAGGAAAAGATGAAAAGTCTTAGGTAAAGGGGGTTTAAAGGAAAATTTGGCATCACAAACCGTCTCGTGATGGATCTAACACACATTGACGATGCTGTCTAAAGTCTGTCAAATGCTAGAAAAAATCTTATACATACATGTGTTGTAATATAGGCTCGAACGATGACACTTTCAAGACAACACGTACACCTACAAGCCCAAGGGACTTGTTAATGTATCCATCAGGGAAAACGTCAAAAAAGGTGAAGTCAAACTAATGCCAAGCTTGGCCTGGTTAGAATGTAGCTGTATCCAATCTGAGGCCAAGGTCGAGCCTTCGCCAACGCGAATTCACTGGTATGGCGGTCAAGGGCCAGAGTTGCGCCTTGCCCTCTTCTCCTAGAAGAAATACCCCCAAAAATGTGGGATCAATCAGAGAGTTTCACTTGCCAATCTAAAGACAACCATGATTATCATAATATCAAAAATTCTCCTTTAGCCAATGAGGCGATGAGGAAAAAAGATGTGATGGAGGATTGTCCAATATGGATCCACCACGTTACGTCTCATGAGAGAAGGCTCAACAAAATCAGTTAGGAGGAACGCACCTCTCAATCAAGTATAAGAGGACCCTTCTTACTCATGAAGGAGGGGGGGGGGAGACAGAACTCTTTTTCCTCAGAATTACCTTTTCTTCTCTCAGAATCAATTCTTACTTGATCGTCGGAGCTTCGTCCCAGTATCCCTCCTGGATGTCGACTAACGATCATGTTTCTCTTTTTTAATATGATATCAGGAGAAGGAACCAGCTCGACTCTCACCCTCCATCTCAATTTAACCATCTCTGACATATCACAACATATATGGACATACCCTATACATCTAAATACATTAAAATGCTCAACACTTGGTTTTGGCCCTATCCAGAACTCCTATGGTACCTTTTCATCAAGACTCCTACTTATTAGTGTCCTATCCAGAACACCTATGTAACACATGACATGCCCACCTTGCTGCTTCTCGCCAAAAATATGTATGCATAATTTTTTATATTTGTAAGCACCGAGCGATGTTTATTTGGGTCCGGTTTCTTCATTTTGCAACCCCATTTTTCATTGGGTTGTAGGCGGCTCTAAGTTACCTTTTAATGCCTTGAGCTTCACAAAACTCATTGAAAGCCTTTGAGGTGACTCACCACCCCTATTACTTCTCAAACACTTGATATTCATTCCAGTTTCCTTTTCCATAGATCTTTTAAAGCTCTTAAATAGTTCAAAGCTTTCATTTATCTATGACAAAAAATAAATCCAAGACTTTCGAGTGTAATCAACGATGAACACAAGTATGTACCTCTTTCTACTGGTTAAGGAAGGAGTGATAGCCCATACAGGTCTGTGTGTATCAACTATAGTATCTCTGTAGCATATCGGTTACTCTTATTGGGTATCACCACTCTGTGTTGTTTTTTGATGGCATATATATCACATACAACATGCTTCTCAGCGATTGAGGGAAGTCCGTTCACCATTTATATGCACATCATGGTACTAATGGCCTTATGGTTGACGTATCAAAACCTCTTGTACCAAAGTTAGATCTTTGAATCATCGCTATCTTGTAGATATTCTAGTTGTTGAGGCTGGAATGAAACATATATAGGAAAGATCTTGTTCCTTATTGTGTTGGATGATATGATCAAACCCTTTTGAGGGTGGAAGGCCATACAAACACCGCCTTGAATGAAAAAGTCAAGGATTTTTCTTGAAGTTTTCCAAATCTGCCATACCATTCACAATGATATGAATATCACCCCTTCCCTTGACTTCCAACTTCTGGTTATTTCCCAGTCTGACCTTGTGTTGATATGTCCCATCAATATGAATGACCCACTCCTTGACTCCTGCCATGTGACGTAAGCAAGCTGAGTCCAGAAACCCTAATGCCTCTTTATCATGCTTATCTTCTTTTACTATTACCATTAACATTTTGTTTTCCTTTTTTTTATTCTTCAATATAAACAGAATCCATCAATAAAATTTCTTCATTGTCTTCAAAATTTACATATTTACTTTTTGGGTATCTTTTGGACATTCATATTGGAAATGCCCCAATTGGTGGTATTTATAACATTCAATCTGAGACTTGTTGAATTGTGTATTATCCTCATTTTGTGGTCTTCCTCGGTCATGCCCTCTTCCTATATTTGAGTTATGTCTACCTCAATCTCTTACATGTCTAATACTTTGATCAGTTTCAACTTTTAGGACTTGTTCATCGTTCACCTTTATTCTAATTTTTTGTTCATGAATCAACAATGTGCTTTGAAGTTCATCTACTATCATGGTATCAAGACCCCTTTATTCTTCTATGGTACAGAGAAAAAAGTTGAAACTTTATGGCATGATTCTCAGTACCTTTTCTACAATCTTCACATCATTCATATCTTTACCAACATTTTGCATATCATTTGAAATGACCATGACACATCCAAGGTAATTAGTAATTGTTTCCATGGCTTTCATTTCTAACGTCTCGAAGTCTCTACGAAGTCGTTCCAGTTGAGCTTGATTTACTCTAGCATTACCCTGTTATTTGAGCTTCATAATGTCCCATATCTGTTTGGATGTCCGATTCTGTTGGATTGTCATTAAAATCGATTTTTATATCAATTGGAACATATCTTTACATGATTTTAAGTCTTTAAGCTTTCTTTCCTCATAGTTTTTTTTTTTTTGAGTTGTTGTTGCCTACTCCCTTGGCCTGCTTACTTGGTACCCCTGGTCCCACATTGACCAGTATTCTTTATATCATACAAGAGTTTCCAACACAATGCTTCATTACTCATATTCTTCATCGTATTTCGGTACACTAGGACCATGAAACTATCATGTTTCTTCCCCCATAGCACTGATCTTTTGAGTACTCTTAGGAACTCTCGTGAATGGAATTTTGATCTAATACCACTTTTTGAATACAAGTGATAAAAAGTTGATTCAACTAAAAAATTTTAAATAATTTATACAAGAGATAAGATGATTTAAACAGCCATTACACATAAAGAAAACCGAAAAAAACTAAGAAATCAAAACAGGTTGCCACATCCCTAATTTTGCATTTAACGCAAGTACAATAAGAAGGTAATATTGAGTAATATGGATTGCCAAGACACATAGATACATCGCATATGCCTTATTTAAACAGACTCAAATAAACTTGGGCTAACCCAACCATAAAGATCAGCCCAATAATTAAATGTATTCAAGTACGTTGAGGTGTTTTGGTTTCAAATAGGATGAAGATCAAAATGAAGTTTGTATGTAATAAAATAATATGGTCTATTAATTAACTGCCTGAGAAATGTGTTATCCTACATTCTCCACTTCAAAACTGAGATCAGGATAGATCAACGACTATGTGTTTGAAATAACATTTGGATTGGTGATCATCTTATTAAGGATATATTTCCTAGATTGTACTTATTGGAAAAGACAAAGATTTTCAGCTTAGTAATCCTTCGTCTACACATGATTGGATTTGGATATGGGTGTAGACTGGTGAAAGATAGAGCCAAAGAGGTTCAACTCATAACTTTGAGCTAGTTTGTTGATTCAATGTAACTTTCAAAGTACTCAGATAAATAGGTGTGGCATTGGAATATTTCTGATGAACTTTCTTTGAGTTTCACAAGAATATTTATTGAAGAGATGGCATTGGAAGTGTAACAACATAAATTTTCAAAACAATTTTTCATTTTTCAAATAACATAAAACTCATTCAATATTTTCAAATCTCATGTCTAACAATTGTCATAATAATAAAAACATATCCCAACATCAATAAATAAATCTTCTGCCAGTGTGTACGGATCATGCAGGCGCCTTCCTACGATCATCGCTAGTACCTAAAACACATAACACATAACACTGTAAGCATAAAAGCTTAGTGAGTTCCCCAAATACCACATACAACACATACGCCACTCAAGACCATAGCTCTATGGGACCTTCCGATCCATGTGTCTCAGGGGACTGCCGTCCCTACCCGTATGACCTTTCGGTCCTCATCATCTTGACCATCCGGTCCATACACTGTTGACCTTCCGGTCCATATCATGATACTCATAACATAGCATAACACATACATATCACATAGCAACATATATCACATACTCTGCATAGCATATAAGACCTTCCGGTCACACATAGTTACCACTCTAGGAAAAGTATAGGGAGAAGACTTACCTCGTATGAAGTCGGATAAACTCTCGTGCTCGAATATCCCGACCTAGCCTCCTCCTATCAACACGATAACATTTCTAGTCAAAATCCTCTAATGTTCTCATCTATAATAATGGGTAGAAGACCATTCTACCCCCCCCCCCCCCGACCTCTCTTGAATCAGCTTAACCTAACCCCCAAGGTCAATAGAAGTCAACTCTAGTCAACAGTCAGACTTTGACCAGACTCATCGAGTGCACATGGGTGACTCGGCGAGTCCAAGCATGTCCTCGGGATCCCTCTAAAGCCTCACTCGACTCCTCGAGTGAAACTTCCACTCCAAGGGTTACCATTGGTCATGAATCGCGGGGCAACCCTAACTTGACTCGTCGAGTTCACTAATGGACTCGACGAGTTCCTTCCATGGCAACACCCAAATGACCTCCTGAGGTTAGATCTTTTTCTCTAAGTTATAGATCTGACCTTAGCATACTCAATAATCATGTAAAGATCCGACCTTTACACTCATGCAACATCCATAATGCTTCTTTGATTGAAATAGCCTCTAAAATGGCAACCTAGGGTCATATCTCTAATGGAATAGCATAAAGCAGGGTAGATAGGACTCTTTGGACCTCTTAAGGTCCAGTTCTAAGAAGAACTCCAGCTTAAGACCTTATATACTTTGAATGCAAGCTAAAGAAAGCATAAGAAAACCCTAGATTCAAGT